AGTGTACTTTGTAAATATGTCAGATTTATGTTAAGTTTGTAACTTGACATCAAAGTATAGACATTGCAAAATGCAGTTTGGAACACTTGCAGAAATATAATAAAAGTACATAGTAAGCAATGGTGGCAGTTTGTTTTGATCCCAGATATCTGATCACCAAAGTCTTGGCTACATGAAGATGACTAAATGGTGTAGTTGCAACATTCAGTTACATAAATAAATAAGAAAAACCGAACTCATGTCACTATTTGTGGCTCCTTTCATTGAATATGTAGCAACTTTCATGTGTATGAATGAGCCATTGTCACCTGGCCCCGCCCCCCCCCCCCCTTTTATGGCGCTGAAGGGGATGTATCTGGATCGCGTTTCACCGCTGCGCTGTTAATCAAATTACCATGCGAATGCGATTTGAATACGCGCTAATGCGGCTATTTAGAATGTGAATAGCGATCTTCGGGTGAGAGCGGTACTACACGCCCCCGATGCAGGTAAAACAAAGTAAGGTGACATGGTTTACTTTTTTGCCGATTTAACCTCATTTTAAAAACTTTAATACTTCCGACAATGGACGTTTTGAAAAGAAGACAGATTACGGATTTAGTTAGTGTTTTTTTCATGTTTCTATAATAAGATTTCAGCGAGTCTGAAATACACGAGAAAGATACTCAGCATTGCCGACGATGCCGTCGACTCCAGAGGGTTAAGAGTCTTTATCACCAGTGATGGCCAAATGAAGCTTCATGAACCATTTGCTGTATTTTTTGACCCCACTAGATGGTGCTCTTAGTTTGCTCTGGGGCATGCTTTAGGCACAATATAGTGGAGTCAGAAAAGACAGTAAAGACAGACAGAAGTTTCATTTGGCCATCACTGTTTATCACTCTGCAGTATCCTGAAATCTGGGGCCGTGGTGAGCCTCAGGCCCATTGCAGGAAACACTGGGAGCATCTGACAAGAACTTTACTTTGAGCTGGTCTGATTTGTGTGGTGAGAGCGATCTCCTTCTTCATACGACTACATGACTGAACTTGGGTGTGGCCACTCAGGTGGACGACGACTTCACGGTACAGGACTACCGGCTACAGTACCGTCGCGGAAACGCCAGCCAGTATGAGGACGCCTACATTGGCAAGGACAGCGAGTTCCTGGTGCTGCACCTGGACCCGCACACGGATCACCTGTTCCGTGTCTGCGCCCGGGGTGATGGCCGGGCAGAGTGGAGCCCCTGGAGTGTGCCGCAGACGGGCTACACCACGCTGGCACCACACGGTAACCCACCCTCATGTGTGCGGGAGCTACAGTAACAAGGGACACGGACGATAATTTAGCTAGCATTGCTAATTTAGCTAGCATTGCTAAGCTAGGCGCATTTAAGGGGGTTCGTGGACTGTGTTGCGTTTGGCTATACTACACACCTATCCTGTCGTGTGAGTGCAGTAGGCTTGTATTTATGTTGCGGTTTGTGAGGAATCGTTCTGTGACTTGGTATCTTACAGAATGGCGCCCCAACAGCGATGGCTACATTCTCAGCAGCCGCAGGAACATCGCCATGCGCAGTGACTCCCCATCCTCTGCCAGGGTCCTCTACTCCAGCTCTCCCACTTATTTTTGTGGACAGACGCTCACATTCCAGTAAGCCCACCCCTCCCCTCAGTGACTCCCAGGGCTGATCTCACTTCCTGTAAAAATCCATGAATATACATCCTTAAATGTGGCGTGTGATACAGGATCATGGCAGCTGGTCAGGTGCACAAGCAGGACAGCCTAGGGGTGTGCGTGGAGGACACGAGCGGCGCCGAGTCCTTGCAGAAGGACAGAGCGGTCTGCATCTCCACCAATGGTAAGCTGACATGCCCCCCCCCCCATTTCACTAGCAAGAATGAGTGTATGATAGACCTTGCTTGCTTGCTTGCTTGACCTAAAGTGTTAAGGTTTACCCATATTTTGTCGAACCTTTCATCCATTTATTTTCTTAAAACTTAAACTTTCATTTTTATGGACACAGAAGCCTTCAAATTGCACAAGGGCTTCAGACATCACCTTTGATTCTTGTTTTGATTCTGTTTTTTGTATTTTAGCCATTGAGTAAACATGCTTTTCATTGGTATCAGTTATTTTCTCAGAATTTATGAATTTCAAGGTCATATTCAGAGCAAAATTAACTTAAAGTGGTCAATGGGCATTTTTTTATAAATGGTGAGAAAATGTTATGTTCTTTCCTGAAGGTGCCGTTTTTGTGAATGGGAAAGAGATGACCAATCAACTGCCAGCCATCTCCCCTGGCTCGGCAGTGACCTTTGACATGGAAGTGGTTGGCCTGTTTCCAATGACCAACAACAATATGAATGACGGAGGGAACTGCAAGCTGAGGGTGACAATTGGTTCTGGGAACAGGGAGGTGGTGTTTGATTGGCTGCTGGACCAGGGGGTGGACTGCCTGTTCTTCGGCTGCTCCTTCGTCTACCCTGGATGGAAAGTCCTTGTCTTCTGATTTCCCTTCCGTCCAGGTTAGGACGGCCAGATGGTGAGGAAGCCCAGTTTGCTGAATTGACCAGTCTTTTAATATACTTACCTATTTTTTTTTCTGTTTTCTTCAAAATTTGAGTTCTCTGCGGATAGTGTTGGGGTAAAGCTTCTGGGCTCAACCAGCGTAGATTCCCTCCAGGTCCATCATTCGAACAATTTAGAGAGACATGAAATCCAAGTGTAACAGCTGACTTACATCATAATTATTTGAAACTGAAAACATATCAAATGATATCCATGACTTTGAGTTGAAGCTCATGCTGGAGTAGGTGGCAACAGGTCGGAACGAAATGGCCAGTGATCTGCGATGGAAAGAAAGCACAATGGACACAGGACTACGTTATGCCTTACGATCAGCTGTATGTCACTGAGGTGCAATGGCGTGAGCCGGCTTTGCCGAAACATACTATGTGAACGATTGTTTTCCTTCATTTATGAATTCAGCCTTAAAACATACTGGGAGGACGAACAGTCTGGGAGACCTAGTCCCTCTGGAGTATCTCGTGTGTGAATCCGTGGAATTTTCCATGGAACTCCAGTCTTTAAAATGTGACTTTCTGTGAATTATTCTGCAGAATAACTTTAAGTAAGGTTGAAAAAATCGGTTTGGACGGTTAACTGAGTAATAGGCTGATTTTGGTGCTCAGTGTAAGTACGGGAGTGGCAGGATTACCATGGATGACTGGATGAATGAAATTTGTAGTTTTTTGGTGGTTTTTTTGTAGGTATTTTTTTACAAGTTTGCTCGTGACTAACTGCATGCTGAACTTCGAAGCAAGGTCAATACTAAAGGGTACCTCCCCGGTAGTGGGTACAGACTCAGTATTACCTGTTCACCTTTCCTCTGATTAAAATATAATTGCATATTATCCTATGTTGCCCCTTTATTGCTCTTGTAAACAACATACCAGAGTTGGAATCGCAGAAGTTGCCAAGCAGGTTGGGAATACGTAAGGAAACTGACATTTCGGGATGTGCGAGAAGCTACGGGCTTGATGCATAACCTTTCAACGTAAACTGAAGGTGCAGAATACTCAACTGATTGGTCATCTGTAATAATCTGGAATTGCGTAGACGATGCGAAGGGAAGGCTCAGACCTACACTGGCCTGGACAAGAGCTGATGGAAAACTGATGGACAGACGGGTATGTGAAGGCATTGTCTCATATAGCCCCGTTTTCAACATCGTAAGAATGTCGCAAGCATGTTGCAGAAAAAGCCGAATGACAAGCAAGAAACAGACCTTAAGATGTTACATAAGCCAAAGGAGGATAACTGGAAATAGCCCATGAAAAAATACAAAATGACAGACCGTATTAGCAATTATCTCATAGGAAGCAGCAGTAACATAAAAGTGAATATACTTGGCAATGCTGCTTGGTGTGACACGAGACCAGTTACCAAGGGCATAGATTTGGGTATAGGCAGGGCATTTCGGGCTGATTCGGTCCCTACCAATGTTAAAACCAACCCTAAGGCCTTGCCTGTTAGCTTTTGGTTACACTTTTTCACTGCTAAATGAAGAAACCACTACTGTGCAGCTACAGTAAGAAGAGAAGCAGGGATTGGCTCATGAGAGGCTATGAATACACAAACATGCAGAGGCCTAGAGTCAGCCATGTGGGATAGAGGAGTATTGTTCAGGCTAGATATATTTCTCCAAAATTTATTACGATCTGCTTGGAAGAATGGAGGAGGCAGTGACTGACGAGTAGTACCAGGACCTCTATGAATGATGAGAAAGGATCATTCTTGCAATCTCTCTACACATCAAATATTGTTCATTATGAACTGGATAAGCAAACACAGCAAAGGTATTCCGCATACACTTAGTACTCATCTGGATGAGACTTTTATAGAGACCAAAAAGATTTAAAACGGGTCTCACGATTTCCTGGGTGTCCGACGGTGGGAATCAGTCTCTCCACATAATGACTGCAGGAGGTCGTTGATGTTCTGAGCAGATGCTGGAGAAGCGACTTCGTAAACTAGCATAGGTCATGAGCTGTGACTTTGGTGCCTATGCTTTTAAACCAAATCCGGCATTCTGGGATGCAAGAACTTCATTTACAGGTCATAATGAGTATCTTAGCAACTTCTCCAACCTGCAAAGTTAAAGGTGTCAAAAGATCTACTCTTTATGAATGGAACCCATAACCTGAATTAGACTCAACTGCATCGCACCTCTTAGAGCAGTGTTTCCCAACCCAGTCCTCGGGGAACCCTGGACAGTCCACATTTTTGCTCCCTTCCAGCTCCCAGTCAATCAAGAACACAGAATACCTGGTACAGGTGCGCTGGGAGCTGAGAGGAAGGAAAAACGTGGACAGTCCGGGGTTCCCCCGAGGACTAGGTTGGGAAACACTGTCTTAGAGGAATTTCACTCATGATGATCCATGCCTTTCATATGCATCTGGTCAGGCTCATCATCCCCAGTAACGGACTTTGAAAGATCAAACCACTATTGCCAACAATGGTAAAAAAATCCTTTTATTTGATAAAAACATTTTCTGTAACTCCTTTATTACAAAATTCACAACTTGAACACGGTTTAACATTGGTTCACTCTCGCGGCCCCACGCAAGGAACGGAAATGTGCAAACAGTGCTTCTGCAGCAGTGACAGCATAATCCATCCGCCTGCTGGGCAAGTAAGAACCTAGAGTAAGAGTCTCCCACAGGAACAACCAACACGCGCAGATTAAAGTGACAGTTGGGCATAATTAAAAAGGGGAAACAAGCAGCTGCAACTCAACCCTTTGGTCTGTAGAACTCCGATCAAACCGCACACCCACCCCTCACACTTTCCATTAAAAAAAACAAACCTATCATAATATCTGCATCCTAAAAAAGTAGAACATTTTTTTTACAATTAGTGATATTGGGGTTCAGTAGGAGGTAAATAGTTTCCTGATGTGTGACATATATAAATACACACACGCACACGCACACACAAACACACACGCTGTTTTTTTTGGCAGGAAATTGTAACGAGGTGCCTGCATGCAGCCGGAGAAGCTGATCACTGTGAAACACAGGAGTGCAGCAAACCAAAGGGCGTCCGGCATGCTGGCCGAATGCTGCTTGCAGGGTGGAACGCAGAGGCGTTGGAACCCTTACTAATGAGAGACCGAAGAACTGCAGGTTTCCATGGAGAAAAGTTATTCTGGGGGGAAAAAAAAACCTGTAAACATTTTGCATAAGTAAAAACGCACTGTTCCACTCAACAGTGGAAAAGTAATGAGTTCCTTCTGGTGCATCCAGTGATGAATTAGTTTGTCCGTATTCATTATAGTCAAGTCAGGTGTTCCAGTCCACAGTCCAGTCCCACCATCCTTTCCACAGGAGAGCAAAGGCTACAGAAAGCTGCTTCTAACTGTCCTCCAGCTAGGTCATATACCCACTGTGACCAGCATAAATCTACCTTTTTTTTTTTTTTTTTTAAGATTTTGCATCAGATAATTCTATTCTGATTTAATATAGTTGTAACCCCCCCCCCGCCCAAAAAAAGACACCTAGAATAAGGCAAGTGCTAAACATGATCACTTTTATACATAGGGTTGTTAAATTAAAATGAAAATAAACTCATACTGAGTTTTCCCCCCATTTTTAATACATTCTTGTGATGCTGACCTGACATATGATGTTCTTACAGGAATGTGGATTGGGATTGCAAAGATGCAAGCTAATGCAGTCATGGGGAACCCAGATACGATCTGCAAAAAGCTAAACAAAACTGGATTCTCTGACGCAATACAGCAGGCCAGAATTACAGCAGGATTACAGATAACTGATCTTAAGTCTTCTTTCAACTCAATCCCCCCCCAACCCAACATTACCCAGCCCTGCAAAATCAGTCTGAGGGGGCTGATCTCAAGAGATTCTGGCACTTGCTGTGCTTCTGAGCTTCAGTGTGGCCGTCGATGCTGTTGTCTTCCACTCGCGGCGCCCCCTGGATTTCCTTCAGCCGGGCCATGGCCTTGTCGATGGTGCCGATGCTGACCAGATTGAAGTCGTGCATGCTCACCATGTGCAGCAGAAAGTTGCGGCACAGGTTCCTGTGAGCGATCTGGGCTCCGCATTTCTCCACGAACAACAAGCAGGCCTGATTCATCTGATTGTCCGCTATGAATCTGGCGGGTAAGAATTTGACAGTAGAGGGCTTGAACAGTGCTAAGAGCATCGGATGTCTTTAAAACCACACTGTCTAAGATGAGCAGGAGCGTCAGGTTTTGGGCCCCATGACAGCATATGATACTGAGTGCCCAGCTCAGAACAATCCAATTATGTTCCTAATATTTTAAAGTCTCTGTCACTCCAGGGAAATTGGCTTCACCCTAACATTCCTGGCCCTGTACAGTATCCCGGAGAACCTCTCTCTCTCTCTCTCTCTCTCTCTCTCATATAATACATATATATTATACATATACACACACACATATACATATATATATATTATATATACACAGACACACGCACACGCCAATCATGAATATGAGTCGTGATACACACCCATGCTTCATAACGTGCAGATTCCAGAGTTTCATCACTTCCTTCTCGCCTTCGTTAACATCCATAAATTCTTCGATTTGCTGTGAGAATAATTGGGACCAAGGTGAGAAACACCACAGTTATGCTGGAACGGGAACCAACTTTGCTCCATCCGAAGCCCACATGGGGGTGGGCCGCAGCCTCCCCCCGGGGCAGGAGTCGAGCCTCACCGTCACCGTCTTCTCCCTGAGCCAGTCGGGGTCCCGCTCGTCCTCGCTGTCCACCTCCATCTCCTGGGGCCGCAGTGGCATGCAGCTGTCGCTGTGGAAGTAGAGCCGGTTGTGGCCGCTGATGTAGGTGCGCTGCTGCTCCACTTCGCCCTCCTCGGAGTCCAGGAACTCGGACAGGCTGGGCTTCGAGCGCTTGGGCCTGAAGCAGAGACCGGGTCAGAAGGTTCCTCTCAAGACGCATGAAGCCCTCCAGCACTAGTGATCTACATGCAGTTCCATTGTTAAAATATATCACGAAAAACGTGCACAAGATTGTTTATAAGACACTGGCTAAAATGATTGCAATTTTAGCAAATTAAATTACTGTTCGAATTCTCAAAGACAAAGCCTTACTTATGGTATGCACAATATGCAGTGAGGCTCAGATAATCACTACACAGATATAGAACAGAAATAAAATATATAATAACCATATATTGTAATATAATTAATATATAACTATCTGTCAGTTGCCTGGAAAGTGCCTTGCCACCAGGGGGCAGCAGGCTCACCTGCACACCAGCACGTGTGTCACAGCGGTCCTCTTCACGGGGCCGTTGCGGCTGAAGGCAAACCCCGGCTGGCTGTGGATATCCTGGGGGTTCCCCACGTAGGAGCCGTCGTAGCACTCGTTGACTGACACGTCTATCCGGGCTCCTTTAGGGTGAGGCTGGGCAAGGTGTGCAAGTTAGCGCGGCCTTAGCACCAAAAGCCCTCCGTCACAGACTTTTAGGCGTGTCCTCCTTCCAACACCAAGTACAGGCAAACTTTTCAGTTCAATCATCCTAAGTTCTAGTTGAAGAATCCGCCTTTAAAGAACATAGAAGACACCAGCTTTGATCTGAGCCTGCCACACTATTTGGCCAATCACATCGTGCCTTCACGCTCCTCCTTACTGTTTAAAGGCTAAGGCTGAAGAGCGACTAACCAATGAGAAGATCAGTAAAACTGGAGGCAAATGAAAGGTTAATGGACTGTATCCATCCATGGCTCGATGAAGGCTCACACTGGTCTGTATCAGTCTAGAGATATGCAGCTGTACTAAAAACGCAAGTATGACTTCCATAAAGCACAAAAGGAGAATACCAGCAGTGTAACATCCACAACTTGCAGAATACAAGCCAAACTAAAAACAAACTCAGAAATGTCTAATGCAACTTCTCTCCCCAATGACCTGAATCCATTTATACTCACTTTGATCTTGCAAACCAAGACCCTCCCTTGCACACGTCTGCAGCATTTGACGATGCAGACTTCTCTGTCTCCGAGGGAGACTCGAGAAGAGCTTCTAAATAGATTAAAAATGCTCGCAGAGCAGCCAGTGTTTCAGGACACATTCTGAAAGCCCACAGCGACTGGCTCGCTGATGCTTTAATGGACATTATTAGTCTAAGTCCACAGTTGCCAGCCATTTTAAATAAGCTGCAATCATTTCAACGCAAACAATTACAACACGGCCACATTCACCCCAAATTCCATGGAGGCCTTGAAACGTTGGCGATGGGAGACAGAAAAATCAATGTCCTGTACAACTTTGATGCCCTTCCATTTGTGCAGCACTACTACGGGTCAACAGAGAATGCCATTCAATGTCTGTGGAGTACACATCAGCATTCTGAGGCTCTCCCTGAACATCATGGATTTTAGCTGGCACTTAGGAGAAGGCATCTGAGTAAGCATCTCACTGCGGTGAGGTAATTTCAGGGTAATTTCACTTTCACTTGAACTTTTAATAAGGTAGGAAAACCGTTAATAGTGAAGCAGCGGTTCTGCTCAGGCAGGGCCCTCACCACGTAGCTGAAGATGAAGCGGCTGTGGGACAGCTTAAGGTGCTTGAGGAGGCTGTAGAGCCTGCGACAGTTCAGCGTGCACCAGGGGCAGTGCAGGTCGTCCCGGGCCTCTGTCTGCTGCCTGCTGTTGTTGTTGTACAGGAACTGAGAAGGGACATTCCAAAAAGTGCTTAAAAAGGAGCAAACAGAAAGGAGGAGGAGGAAGAGGGGGGGAGGAGGGAGGAGAAAGCGCCATTCCAATGCAGGAAGATACCGGAACCACAACATGACAACTGCTTAAGAGAGCATGTCTGAGCACTTTGCAGTGACTACAGCAGAACCTCCAGTGTGGGTCTCCTCAGTTTGGCTCTATCCAGTTAAGACCAACTTAGAGCATTAGTGCAGAAGAAAGGGTGCCGTCATGAAGAGGAAGCAAATAAATAAACAAACAAACAAACAAATAATCACAACTCGTGGTAAACATTCACCTGATAAAACACACGCAGCTTCTGCCGGGGTTCAACCAGTATCTGTTCCTTTCTTGTCTGGATATTTGTGCTGATTGAATCTTTAACTGCTAAAAACATAGCAGGCAAACGTTAGAATAAGCTTTTATTTTCTGGCACCCACTGCCACGGTAACACCGCACAATGCGGAGGTCCGAGCAGGGCCCAGACACGCCGTGTGGTCTTACCAAGCGGGGCCGGCCTTGGCCCACTGGGCCTGCTCTCCGTAGCACCGGCATCCGAGTTACGGGTGGTCAGGGGCTTGGCCACCGGCGCGGTCGACTTGCTGCCGACGTCCCCAGTCCAGCGCAGGGTAAACTGCAGCGTGGGTCCCTGAGAGAGGGTTTCAAACGGAGGGAGCCGCTGTGGGACAGGCGACTTTACATTAATGTCCTCGTTATGCCGAAAAGGGCATCTACAAATATGAAATGTCCCAGACGGGGCGGGGGGGATGGGGGTCTGAAGCCAATCACCACTGACAACATGGGCCATCTGAACCCCTATCAGGATACAGTGCCGGTTAAAGCCCACATGGAGCCCCAAGCAAACTTCGCCCTCCCACCCCCAACTGGCACAAACCATCCCAAACAACGTGAAACTGCCCAGCCACGTCAGGGCCACCTGAGGAGATGGCAGCCAGCCAGGGTGCCCAGCGGGTTAACCAGCATTATCAGGAGATGCACAAAAACCAAGAGCCGAATGATGATTGATCTATGGAGTCTATGACTACCACGTCACCGCCGGCATGTGGGGGGAAGAAAAGAAAAAGCACAATGCGGCTGTTTTTTTTGGAAACCACTTTAACCGGAACACTAGACCTCTAAAGTATAGAAAAACCCTGAGGATTATTCCTGTTAACAGTACTTCTCTGATAAAATGCTAATATGAACAATGGGTTTTTACGTCAACATTTTCAGTGCTCAACTGCAGATTTGCCCACAGTGATAAGTGAACACAATGCACCTCTGTATTACAGGGGCTGTACAAACCTTTCAGATCTGACGCCTACTGGCATTGCGGGGCGGGAACACGCAAACCAGCACCAGTCTGGTCCGAGAGCTAGATAAGCAAGCAAGCAATACTTTCTCCCGCGGACGTACCTTCCCGTCCAGAATGGTCTCCCAAGTAGCCCTTTTCTTGTTGACCGGACATTCTTCCACTTCCTGCATAGAGACCTCATACTCGCCATCTAGTAGCTGTAAGCGTCTGCAAATGCCAAGGGAGACCATCCTTAACAGATGCATCGTAGGACTAAATCAGGGTTCTTTAATAGGTGCTACTTTGTGTATCATCACTCCCAATCAAGGCACCCCCCCAATCCTAAATGAAAAACACACAATTTTCAGCCTTGATCCACTCCTTAACTTCTATAAAACTGAAGCAGATGACAAGGTTTTAACTGTCAACAAATCAAACATGTATCTCTGCCTAACAGCTTGTCTGAAATGTGTTTGCTGTATATTATTTCAGCTACAGATACCAAAATCACCCTTCCATTTTTTTTTTCTTGGGGAAAAGGAAGATATTAATTTGTCTGTAAGCTGGCAGAAAACCTCGCACATCAATATGCGCACAGCACCTGTTCTTGTCAAAGACTGTCATCTGTGCAATGAAGGTGGTCTCTCCATCACCCCTGAGAGCATTTCTCGTTTTTCTGTTTGGAAGTTCTCCTAGAACATCTGCAAGTAAACCAGAGATATTCTTCACATAGATTTAAAACTCACTAGCGCTGCAGGATGGACACATCACTCAGGACTTAGCAGCACAAAGAAATAAGTGAGCACAAAACTCACCAATATTCCCATTGGGTTCTCCACTGAGATGCCTTCGACCCGGCCGGGAAACCCTGAAGAGCAAGGAGTAGGACTTGACCATGTGACTGTTGTTAGGCTCAAACTCGTTGCTGGAAACCAGGAGAGAGGGGAAGGCGGCAGGTTTGGCTTGACTGCAGTCCGGGTTCAAAGGCACCTGCTTTTTCCCCGTAGGCACTTGTTTAACCGGGCAACTGACATCCTAGGACCACAAAGAGAAACTGAAACTAGACCATCAGAAATCAGCAAAGACGTACAACTCCTGGGTGTGTCACGTTCAACACTGGGAATGGACAAAAGAATTAATGGCGTAAAGACCTTGTTTTACAAAAAGCAATGTAACTGACACAGGCAGCATGGGCAGGTGGATAAGAGATGATGAACAATTAGTGCAGCAAGAATTCTGAACTGTTATGTCCCCCTATAAAAACACCAACATCAGTGCTGTGTGAATCAGCCTAAACATGGAAAGTGACATGGAAAGTGACATGGAAAGTGACACTCCAGATTAGTAAATGAGCATATTTGCAGCACAGAGCCGTCACAAAATACAGCGCCCAGGTGAAGTCTGAAAAGGTGGACAATGCAGGTATGGAAGAGAGGAGGAGGAGATGACTGTCAGAAAAGTACAGGTTCTCTTGATATCAGCATATGTGGCAGACAGACACAGAATTCACCCATTTCTCACCTTCCTTTTCTTGTGGCAAACTTTGACAAGTAGAACCTCTAAAGACACTGAATTTTGTTCGTTCTCTGAGTTTACAGATGGCTTTTCTGTAAGAGGAGAGGGCACACATGAATAATAAAAAAAGAACTCAATAAAGGTAAAGTAAACCTTCTGTATGTACAACAAATTGAATATTCAAGAGAGAATAACCCAAGTGACTGAAGTGGAGCATGAGAGATCATCACAAAGACCTACCGATTTTATGGAAGAATCCTGTAAAAGTCAGCTGTAGGTGTGAAGACAAGCTGTGGAGAGAATATATATTATAAGAAACGAATTCCTGCCTTACAGAAACATGTCCACGACAATCAACACCAAAAATGTCAGGATATCGTAGCTCCAGCAAGACACACTTTTACCTGTGTGACTCCTGATCTCCCTTCATCTTCTCTACTTTAAGCAGCATCTCGTCTACTTTATACATCTTCCTGTAGGGAGGGGTAAACCTGGTAAACCGCACAGGCACCTGAATGCATGCCCACTACAGCAGACCTTGCGAAACGCGATATCTGCACATTTACAGTAAGTACAGCAAAGTCAGGCACACACTGGTGAGTTAGAACAAGGCTGAGATGCCAAGACCACAGCTGTTCTGAGCAGATTCCGCACTCTGCAATTACACCAGAGCCTTATTTAGCACTGAATTTTTTCTCCCCCACCACAGACCCAGCCTCTCCCCAAGCAGCTAATATAAAAAGCACAATCTAAGGAACTATGTACGGTACATCCTGGGGACCCACTATTTCCACTGTAATAAATTCTATTGTGGATACTGCTGATGCAGCAGAGCTGTATATGAATAGCAAATGATGTTCAACTACCAAACAGAAAGAGGAGATAGACCTGGGTAACAATCCAGGCTACAATCAGAATCCATGAGAACCCAGGGAGAGGCTGAGCACAGGGTCTTATTGCAGCTCTGTGCATTTTCGCTGCAGCTCCTGTTTCAAAGGACTGGGGCACAATGCTTAAAACATGAGAGAAGCGCAGAGCTCATCTTTTCAACCATTAAATGCCCCTTTGAGAATACAGTGACTAACTAAACGTGTTTGACACAAGTGAAAATGCTAATAAATGTGTTAGAGCGGAAGGAAATTAACAAGTAACACAGCAAATTAATACAATGACAGAAACAAAAGGTACATCAACTTATTTTATAGAAAATGGTCTATAGATTTTCCAGCAGCGTTATCATAAATAATCAGCTTTAGCTCAGCTTAACGAGATTTCAGGAAATTCTGTACTTGGGCTAGACTTTTGGCTAGACTGGCTTTCAAATACATATTTCAAAAGGGATTTGACAGATGTGTTTGGTGTCTTTTAACAAAGACCTGCGGGGAACTGTTAGCATAGATTCCAAAACACATGATGTCTCATGGTTTTTCCTCTCAGATTGTGCCCAAAGTAAAGTTAAGGAGATTTTTGAGGGGTAGGGAGAAGGAGCTGATGTTTTAGGTATGCATAACTGATAAATCTGCAGGTATGGGGGGGGGGGGCGAATTGCTCCTTGTAATACATGTAAAAATTACCAGATGTACAAGGACAGTACTATCGGGTATCAGATAGGTGTGACGTAAATCAGAGCTCAAAGCCCGAGGCTTCAGATGTACAGAGGTGAGCTTTAAATACACCCAGACTGTAAATGCACTGGGCCCAGTACCTTAAATGAACCGATATCAATTACATAACAGTATCTGCTAAAAGTATAACTGTACATCATTCCAGAAACAAATAAAAATAAAAATAAACCTAATATTGAGCATATAGGCATAAACATGGTGTCACACCTTAGAACAATTTATCTTAACTGTGAATCAAAGAATCAATGTCAACATAAGTGGCATGTAGGAATGGGAATGAGTACTTGAATGCACGAGTACCCAAAAGTGCTCATGCATACTCAAAAGCGTACCCGAGTACTTGATGGTGAATCTGGAGATATATTAGAATATTTGCACACTGAAATTCAAATCCCCTTGAATAAACTCCAAACGAGCATGCAGCTGAATATTGAATGTTGCGTACAGTGTATGATGCATTTTTATAGCCAAATCACAATGCAGTTAAATTGGGGAAGGGCTGTATGTACTTATTTTTCTGATTGGGTAAGAAATTTGGGGGCAGGTAGTATATTTCCAGACCAGCTGCACAACAGTTAAGGGGGCCACGCACTCCAAAAAACATCCGGACAAAACGAGATTGAACATGTCACTGAGAAATATCTGTCACAAACTTAGAATGAATAATGTGGTGGTGTTTTATGTCATGCCACAATCCTAGAGGGTGCAGAATGTTTTCAATGGACACGCACACATTCCACAGCAAATATTTAACAGTTAAGACATTTACTATTAACATAGTGATAAACAGAGATGATTACCACTCATACGTCATATTGCTAAAACAACAGTGATTCCATTTGAAGTATGCAGCCAACTTAACTACGTTATCTAACCCTCCAAACACTCACTCTCTGCAATCCTGCCCCAACTCTGCCTCGACACCCCCAACAAGTGCTAATTTTTTTTTGCCATGTCAGGTAATCAAAAAAAAAACAAAAACAAAAAACGATAATTAACATCCCTAGTTGCAGGTAATCATTATTTGTGGATCGCCATTATTCCCATAGGCTGTGACTCCGAAACTCTACAGAACAGGCAAATCTGATATGTTTACAATCAGGCAAGCAGCCACATGACCAAATTACATCGAATAAACTCGCACATATATAAAGAGGAATGTCGTTATTGCATTATCCTCAGCCACTGAAAGGCAGCCACTTAGAGCACAGGTGTCAAAAATTTCCTTCCGCAATGCAGATCACTGACCATCCTTAAAACATACTATACTAAGTGTAATTAGTAGGGCTGCAACAGCACATGAATTCGTCATGTTCAGTAGATCACTTTCGGTTCATTACGCATAAAAAAATTGCTTGACACAAGCAGAACCTAAATTCACAAGTAGATGTTCAACACAGAAAACATCATGCTATAATGTGGCTGTGCGTTATGTTTAGTGCTAGAGAGCTCAAAGACTCTCCAACAGCACTTAAATAAGCAGTTTGGGAAAATTTTTGGTTTCCCAATAAATTACACCAGCACTGGAGAGAGAGTAGCTGATAAGACCAAGGCTGTCTGTCGGCTCTGTTATTCCCAACTCTGATATGTTGCTGGAAAGACAATCAACACGCCGACTTATTTGAGGCATCATCATCCGAATGTGTCTACGACCGGAGAAGACAAAACCGGCCTCTGCAAATTATACTCCCCTTGGCGTTTAAGGCCTTTTGCCAGAAAACTCAGACTGTGTTAGAAAAAAATAACCACGGCTATGGGGGAGTTTTTCACTGCAGATATACGACCAGACTCGGTAACAGAGAACACTGGATTTAGACAGGATTTAGTTCATTAAGATTGATGATTTCGAAAGTTTACTTCTTATTTTCTACATTTATTTTTGTAATGTGCAAATGAGCAACTCAAGATTTGTTATTCGGTCATGTAAAAATACGCAACTGATCCTAATTGCGTTTGTGTTGGCAGTTTAAGTTACTTCTAAACAAATTCTTTTTTTCCCCTGCAGTACTGGAATTGCTCCAAATCATTATCCCAAATCAGAGGTCTGTACCAAACTGTGAATTTTGTGTGCCCCTAGCAATTAGAGAAGCACTTGCTCGGGTCTCTTAACCCTTTAGGAGTTCTCCACTTTGACAATGAGCAGCCAAAGTTTTTTTCCATTAATTTTTATTATAAATACAGTGCGGAATCAGACAGACTTATATCATATGTACAAGGAAAATGCTTTGGCGTGTTTACTACAGAGGCGCATGGTAACAAGTATCCCAAAGGACACACAAGACATTGTTGTGCAAAATAAGAACATGCAAGTCTTATAAAATGATGCAGTGCATACAGAAGTCAGAGGCATGCCGGAAACCAGCATGTACGTACACAACAAACATAATCACTGTAATAAATACATTCACAAGCATTGCCGTTATTTAAAAAGTATTTAACCCATCTTACCTTTTGGCATTTAGTCTGGGGTTTCTAAGGGGCATATATGTGAGACTTCTGTGCAAGAATATAGGCTGAAATAAAGAAGTTTTTCACCAAGTTACTTCATGATATAGCAGTATGAGTCAGCAACTATAACACAGTCAATGTTCTTGTCACTTGCTCTCCAAAAATCAGTAAATGTCAGATTATTATGTTATACAGACGGACATAACAGATATCAACAACTGGTGTGGTGTGCCTTTATTTGCAGACACTACTTACTGCAATCAGGTTTCTTGTGCGAAGGAATCTGTAGATTTGGGTTGGTTCTGACAATAGAAAGTTGAAAAGGCAAAACACTGAGTGACTTTTGCTACTCAAATCTCCTTCCTACTATTAATGCAAGTACAACTCAATGCAGTATTGCTTTAGATACGGGTTCCCTCCCCACAAAGATGCAACAAATACAAGAGGCAAAAACTCTACTTCTGCAAAACTAATGGCAGATGCTGTAGTCTTTTACATTTTCTTTGCATTTGATCACAGGAAATGGTTCACCAGCAAGTCACTCTCAGCAAGTGCAGCAAGTGATCAAAAGACACCTGCGTTCTACAACAACAAAATGAATCCGTAGCGTAGTGTTTTCCCCCCATTGCAAAGGCAACAAATAAGTTACCGAACGTGCTGCGGACATCTTTATTGCAGGAGTGATATCTAATGTGCACGTGACACAGACGAGCTGCATGCAAGCGGACATGTGCATCCAAAATAATTACAGCCACATATAATAAATCTGTTGTTCGATACGGTTACAATAACTACATGCACTTTCGCCGATACAAGGTGCAAAAGTCGTCGGCAACGTCCAACAACTTTATTTCCAACACTCACACTTCCAACATTCACAAAACGCAAGTAAAGCGACTACGCGTCACTGCTTCATCCTGTTTGATCCCACCCACCGATTCTTAATGCCATTTTAACATTCGTCTCTAATCCTCGTTAATGTCAAATTTAATTCCGTATATTTGGTTCGTTCTAAACAGTAAATAGACTGGCTGCATAAGATAACTTAGTTAATTACAATGCAATGACAAAACTGAAGTTTTAATTCAGCATTGCTGAAGGCCAACATGAGCATAAGGACTGTGATCTATTCAGTTAGTGAGGGTAACATGTACACTTTGCACACAAACACCATCATATCCTGAGGATCATGGACGTCTAAGGAAGCCAAGTTTAAGCAAGCACGTAACTGGTATCATTACCAAAGTAGAAAACTGGCTTAGATACCTTACATCGATTAACTAAACTAGATACACAGCGATCTGAAGTTGATAAATTTTTTCATAATGGTCAAAGTACCGGCACGGTTTTTCGGTCCCTTTCCACAGTGTTGACCCAGCGAAGTCGATCAGCCGTTCTGCTGAGGGATGGCCACGGCGCTCAGTACATACTCACTTTCGAAGGCCTGTAGGAACAGCTCGTGGTCTGCTTGGATCTCTTCCATCTTCGGCTTCTTCACCGAGGCCATCGCAACAACTGGGGACGGGCACACAATGCCGCCGCCTTTACAAACGGTACCGCGACCCTTGACAGGAGCCGAACCCGAAACAGAACCGTGACCCTGGGCGAGCAATGCGACAACCCCACGGCGAAATCGCACCGGGAGAACGTCCTTTTGCTAAACGAAGGTCGCAGTGAGCTTACTTTCAAAAGCCACACATTGATTTCTTTTAATAATTTAGACGGACAACTCAACGAGAGAAGTTGTGCGACTAATTAGCTACCCGTAAACATCCGTGTAAACAAAAAAAAACCGAATATGGTACATGTATCAAACAGTCCGACTAAGCCTGTGTGAAATAAATTAAAGAATAAATTATAAAGATGACAGTAACACGGATCTTTCCTTTTCTCTAGCAAAATACCAGCCCACGACCCGGCTAACTGACGAAGTGCTGCCAGGGAGAAACCGTGAAGAATCAGAGGCGGCTTTGCTCGCTATAGTTATTTATACAAATATGTGAAATTCAGACACTGTCAATAAGGATTCTCCCAATTCCTCTATACCTGAACTATAAGCCTTTGTTAAGATTTTCTTGATTTTTTTTTTAGAATATGTAAGTACTAGTAGTATATATATAGATATATAATACGGGGATATTTACAAATAGACACGACCCGGCAAACGCCTTCCCCACGCACTGCTACTTCAGTTTGACTGCTCTCACTAGTGTACGCCGCCTGCAGCGCAACACAGCCCCGCTGGCCGCCCCGCCCGCCCCCGCCTCTACTTTTGGACGAATGGACGGGAGCGCCGGCGCTCTGGACGCCATGATTGGCCGAGCGAGCGACGCGCAACTATGACGTCAGAGAAAAGTTAGGTAGAGATGACAAATTGTCACGCGCGTCCCATTGCAGTTTAAACGATTTTGCGGGAAAAGATATTGCGGCTTGACTGTAGTGTCGAGGGGGTAGCGATTGTACTACGAGGCTTTGGAAATAATGGATAGACGCCTATTTTATGCATTCGTCTTTTTGATAATTAAATGAAATTAAAGCTCTTTTCTGGCAAAATGTTAGCCGAATCACAGAACCAATTTGTATTTTATTTAGTAATCGAACGAATTTTTGAGTGTCTGTTTTGTAAATTGACGGAATACAGATCCGACAAGGGGTGATTTCCCCGTGGTAAAAAACAACGCCCAGGGAAGACATTCACCGACGAACTCAAAATATTGAATAAACGCCGTTCTTCCTAATAACCCAATAATGCATTACTGATATTTCTTGTAACGCATTACATTTGCAAAGATTCAAGAATCATGGTAAATAGGGTTAATATAAGTAATCGAAGATATCAGAAATTAAATACTTAGTAAAAAACTGACCCGTGTGGGAGTTCTCTAAAGTTAAATATTGTCAGAATGTGACTCTGGCAGTTTAAACAAAATAAAATACAAGAATAATGATATATCACAAAAAACTCGAACACCTACTTAGGGAAACGCAACCATAGAACACTATTATACAGAACGTGACCTCTTAGTTTTTCTAGAATTGTAAATGCAAGTCTCATGCTATAAAACATTTCTTATAATATAGTAAATTATATGATATTATTACTGCTACAATATGGTACAATTCTGGATGGCTTTCACACCTTTTTATTCTATTATTTTAAATATTTTGAATATAGCGGATCTGGTACAATTCAGGCGGTACATATAAAGTTAAGCCCCGTTTTCAGAACGGAATTATTACCTTGAGCACCGGAAGTTTGAGCTATCATAACTTCCACACATGTGTTCTGATTAGTACTGCGGACATCTGTAGTAGGTTCGTTGATTTTTAAATAAAATCTTGATATTGTATGCAATATTTGTTTGTAACCTATTACAGATATTTAGTAAAACATGGCTGATATAGTTCAGCTACGGATAGAGGACCGGATACCTGGACTGGAACAACTTGAAAGAGTAGGGTTATTCACTAAAAAAGAAGTGAGGTAAGTCCGATTTTGCTTCTGGATTATTATTTATATTATTACGATTAATGTAATAAAATACCATTTCGTGGCGTAATGCTTTTTTTGTCAGAGCAAGCATTTGTTGTATATTAAACTTTCTTATTTCACGTTTCTTAGCTTTCCTGATGTGTCTACGCAATACGTACCTACGTGTCCTCCAGTAGCAACTTGCAAGTATATTTTACGTAAATATGATGTTAATGTGCTCAAAATGCAGGTCAATGATTAAAAAGTCAACTGCTTTGGAGTACAAGCTGTACAGATCTGTACTAAGCAAAGAAGACTTCATCAGTTATATCCAGGTGGGTAGCCACGTAATTGGAGTTCACATTAATGGCCAGGTACACCTGCATGTACAGCACTACGAATGTGTTTGGCGATATTTTAGTGTGTATTTACTGACAACATAGAAAATAATTTAAGATAATCATGCACCACATCTATATTAAAAAGGTATATAGTTAGAAATAAAACAGATTTGTTTATAGGTTTGTCTTACCTTAGTTGATTTTATTGTACAGTGCTTTGTTTGACACCTACAGTATAAATAAAAATGACTTTGCTTGATTTGAGTATGGAATGTTGAGTGAACAGCCATTCAGAGAGTGAAACAATTTAATTAAAATTATAAGTCAGTATTTTACAAGTAGCGCATCTTGCTCTTTATTCAGCAAACTGTAACATGATACATCAATCACTTGTTCTCTTTTAGTACGAGATCAATGTCTTGGAGTTAATAAAGAAGAGAAGAGTGGTAAGTCAATTTACTGTATTTTAATTTGAGACCTAGAGAATTGCCATACACAAACTGTTCCTCACCATTTTTTTTCTGAGAGTAGTGCTGCATTCAACAATAAGCTGTCCCAGATGAAGTTTGCAATGTGTAGTAAGCTTTTACTTAATGTATTTGGTACAGCTTTGAGGGTTGGGATATGGCTTTATGTACAAAAAATTTGGAGTCTCCCATAGGCTGGGGACTTCTAGGGTTGGATGTTTATGATTTGATACAAACTATTAATGAGATATGTAAGCTGTCGATTTGAGGAAGCCATGTTCACATGTCTGTTACGCATGCTATTCCTACAGTTTAATATGAAGTGCATGTAAAGAAAAAGGATAAATTGCCAAATGCTACAAATTGCGCAGCTGGGATAGAATCATTTAGGTTGAACAGACAGTCACTTATGATTTTACATGTGTTTTGAAGCCTTTTGTCAGACAGGGTCATCTTTTATTTTGTACTTGCATCCCATCAGAAGTCATGTGTCTGTACATTTATCCCAGAGGTGGCAGTTCAGAAGTTCAGGTCCAAAAAGTACAAATCCAGACCAAGAATTTGTTTCAACCAACCAGCTGAGTGCTCTGTGACTGTGACTCTTTATACACACCTGGTTGGTTGAAACAAATTCTTGGTCTGGATTTGTACTTTCTGGACCTGAACTTTCCAGCTCTGGTTTATGCCCATGTCAGTTTATCTGGCACATGGTCACTCTTTGTCGTGCGTCTTTCACCAACTCAACAATGGTGCATGTACCTCGTTTCAGGACCATGAGTGTCAGCTGTAGAATGCATGGATTACTTTTCTGATTATATGTCTCATGTTGTGGTAACTCAGCGCATAGGTTACAGGTTTAAAAGGGAGGATATCGAGTACCCCATCATTGAGAGGATAAACAGTGTCTTCAGACGGGCAACCGTGAAATGGAAGGTGAGGAGAGAAGTTTTTTTAAAATGATGATATTTTACGAATGAATTGGCTCTAATGGCATATTTAGTCAGATAAGTCGGCATTTTGCATGTTTAGTTAACACTCGGCTCCTAGAAGACGGGTGGGCTCAGCTCAGGGGTGCTCCTACTGCCTAGCGCTCCAACCTAGCAAATGTGTCTTGCTCCTTTCACAGGAGGATGTGCAGCTTTGGTTTTCACATGTTGCATTCTGTAAGAAGTGGGTAAGTTATTCTATATGTTTCACTGTTACTGCTTCCTCTGATAAATGTTGTGTGCTGCTTCCCTAATTAAAATGACCAACATGTTTGTTTTTTAAACTAGAACACAAAGGCTCAGCTCAGTAGAGTGTTTGCCTCGATGTTGGCCATTCACCCGGACAAGCCAGGTAACACACATCCTGTCACTTAATGAGTGGAACCGCACAAAAAATAAGTTCCTTATTTATTTTGATTTATTTTTATATAGATGTGTTGTATGTGGCATTGTGTATTTCTCCCATACGTACCCAAAGCCTTATGGATCATGGCCGCCAAATGTGAGATGGAGGACAGGAACTCCTCAGAGACTGCCAGGAACCTTTTCCTGCGGGCCTTGCGTTTCCACCCTGAGAACAAGAAAATCTACCAGGAGGTCAGTAATGGATGGGGTCCCCTGGGCTGCCCTTGCCCTGCTCTCATGGGCTGTTCTATAAAAGCATTTTGCTGGCATTTTGTGAATGGAGCAGAAGGTCAGATCCTGAACCAGAAAGCAGCATGCCATCATTTTCTGTGGTAATTTCTGCGGATTCGGCATATTATTTGACCTATTGCCCAATAATTTTTTTTAATCCAGTACTTCCGTATGGAGCTGATGCACGCAGAGAAGTTGAGGAAACAGCAGAAGGAGCTGGAGAACGCCAAGATGGACCTGGTGGGTGATGTTCTTGTGCTCTGAAGAACTCCATTCTGGCAACGATGAGTCATCTTACTTTGTCATTTAACGTAATCGAAACTATTGAGGAATCTGTTACAAGATGTGCAAGGAAAGCAGCTGTGCTGTAGATACACTTTAGAGCAGTGCTTCCCAATCCGGCCCTTGGGGATCGACAGACAGTCCATGTTTCTGTGAATGGAGGCTAGCAGCATTATGAGGTAGCCTTACTGTTCTCTCTCTGTCGGCCAGGGAGAGTACGAGTTCTCAGAAGAAATCCTGGGCGGGAAGTTGGCCGAGGTGGTGTGCAGAGACGCCACCTCTAAGATTAAAGGTACGATCTAGCACAGCATGGCCTTCCTCCCCTCATCAGACACGGCCCGGGTTAACGTGTCTGCCTGGCTCGCGGTCCCCAGGTGTGGAGTTTCTGCTGTCCCTGCTGAGGATTGCGGCCCTGTTCGACTTCACCCAGGAGCTGCAGGACGCCATCACCAGAGAGTAAGTCCTGCTCCGCTCGCGACATCCAGTCAGACCCTTCAAAATGCCGAGGTGGGCGTTGACCGGAACCGCGTTCAGTCTGCAGGAGAATTACGTGGACGACTGCGTCACCTGGGACTACATGGCCAAGCGGGAGCTGGAGACCGGACTGGGGGCGGCGGCAGAGACGGAGCTGAGAAGCGCCAGTGGCAAGGCGACAGACGTGGCCAGGAGGGAGGAGAGGTGCTGCCAGGTCTACGAGGAGGGCTTGAAGAACCTCAGCACAGGTGAGGTGATTTTAGAAGCTTTGACGTTCAGACAGTGGAGTCGGGGAATGCAGCCACTTTGCCACCTGCTCCTCACTAATCTCCCTCATGTTCTCCTGTCACACAGAGGCCATGTGGGCCTGTTACATCACTTTCTGTTTGGACCGGTTCAGGAGGAAGACTAATGTCTCCATGTTGAAGGAAAAGGTACCTGATCTTTCCTCCTAACTTCAGCCTTGCTGTGAGGTGGAGGAATCGGGGGTTACGGTTTAATTCTGAGTTCTGAGGCAGAAGTGCAACTAGAGGAGATGGGACCAAGACATCTGATTGGTTGGTCCCACCT